AAGCCACTGGCCCATCCACAGCAACTTTTAGGCAGATGCCCAGGGCTTTCTGGTGGGAGTAGCTCTAAATCTCCTTCAGCCAGAGAGGTAACTGGTCCAGGGTCAGGCACTTCCTGGGTGTTTTGACCAGTATGCCATGTTATGAAATAAAGTCACTCCTGTCTAGCTTTGTTTTGGAAAGAAAAAACTGTGTTTGGTGATGAGTTTGAACATGTCTACCAGATCAAGAAGGAGCACCTGCCTCCTGTTGGGGCCATTGAATTAGTCAGCGGCTGAGCAGCACATTTTGAGGCAGTTCTGGGCAAGGGCAAAGGGGTGAGTCCAGCCATATATGAACCTTCAGACACTTTAGATGTTGCCAAAGTTGGAATGCAATTATCAAATTTGTGTTTAAATACCTGAATGGTAAACCCTACTTTTAAAACATAGGCCTTTTCCCACATCTGATCATAAATATATATCAAAAGCAGTGAGAGCACCCAGAAAAGAATACTTGCAAAGTCAAAGGTGGGAAAGGTGGGAAATACAAGTTCTGTGTAATATAACCTGTGATGAAATTTGTTTGCTCTGGTGACCTGGCCTCTGCACAGAGTGGAAAGATGGGAGCTCCCCTCTGCCTCAAATGTCCAGTATTATCATCTCTTCTGATTTTACAGTTGAATTCCTAATTTTTGATGTAGTTCTTAACATGGCAGCTTCTTGAGTCTCCTGATTATATGAGGCTCTCAGTTGTCATTTTAATAATACATTTCTAATCCTTCGTGGTTGTAGAGAAGAGCTTGAAAACATGGTTGGAGTGTGTTTGTTGTTCTTGTAAGCTTGTTTTACATTATTGAGTAGTTGGATTCAGCTGTACTGAAAATGATACTTTTCATAATGCATACTTACAAAAGGGCTGGAGTACCACGCTGCCACATAAATCTGTCACTGCTTAACTTAGATGCTGAATCTTACAATCTAAATAATGCTGCTTTACATAGGTTTTCTATGCAATGTCTTTTAAAAAATAGACAAAGGTTAAAAAAAATGTCCGTTATATGTGGTGGTAATAATTCCCATATCCATCATTGTCTGGGTTTTAACCATGATTTTTCTACTACTATGCATATTAAAACCACTTGAGTTACAAGATTAAAAACATGACTTGCGAGTGAGAGAAGAGTTAAGCTGAGTAGAGAGAACCAGTGGGGACAGGGAGAGATCAAAGGTTTATTCAGGGAAAAGAAGGTCCTTTCTGTAAGGTCCCTTACATTCGGGTTCTCCTGTTGCATATATCGGCCAAGAAGTGAAGAACAAGGCCAGCAGGGCCATGCTTTGAAAAGATGGTCTGGAAGAACTTGACCTTATGCTGCTCCTACACTTTCAGGCTGTAGCCCTTGCTGAGTGTAGTGCTGTCTGATGAGGGCATAATTTTAGGAGTGGAGTAAGTGCTGTTCTTTTTGAAAGTGTATTTTCCCGAGCAACCTAAGAAGGAGAAGGGAAACGGCAGTTTTTATTGCTGTATAATTCAGCTAAAGCCAAGTGGAGTTTCATGGGACAAAGCAGAAGTACTTCTTGAGCCTGAAGGCTTTTTAGTCCTGCTGAATTTCAAAGCTCTGCTGCAGTAAGTGGAAATGCTGATGCTTGTGACCTTTTACTAAGAAGCCTCTTTCATAACAGAGAGCCATAGGCAGCCTAAATATAGTGGTTGCTACCTGCTTCACCTGTAACTCACAACCCTTCTGTTGTTCAGTTGTTCCGTTTTCTGTGTTTTTCTCTCTTATTCTTAGCTTTGCTATCCCATCATAATTTTGTTTTTTTTTCTTTTCTCTGATGAAATTCATGAATACTACTTAGACCACAGCACCACTAAATCAGATGAGTTTCTTTCAGATGAAGTGCTATATCCTAGATTTATGTTTGTAGATGCCTTTGAGTTAAAGCATAAGCTAGTATTTAAATCAAGAGCTACAAATAGTTAGTTACTCAGGTAATAACAGCACTAATATTGAGTGCTAAACTTAAATACCCGTCTCATAAATCAGACAAGATTTTCGTTTACTCTTACAAAGACATTTGGGTGACCTCTGAAGTATGATTCAGAAAATTACACAGCTCAAAAGTTATCTCGTTTATTTGTTTACTGAGAATGACGTTTTAATCACAAGACAAATGGGCTGGAAAGAGCTTGATTATTTTGCAGTCTTTCAAAATAAAATTACTTGTACCCCAGTTATAGATCTTTATATAAAGGCAGACTTGTTCTTTCATTATTATTCAGTAATATTAGAAAAAAGGCTTTGTCTGAAACCCCTAAAATGTTGCTGAAATTTGGCTTTTGATACTTAAAATCAGAGAATGGGACATGTCACTGTAGAACACACATATTTTAACTTTATGCCTCTGAAGACATTATAGAAAAGCAAGAGTCATTTCAGTAATGCAAGAAAAACAGAATTTGAGGAAATCTTAATGCTTATAAGTAGGAAATGGAACTAGAATTTCAATTTCCAAAATCAAGAAAGCCATAATGCAGGAGAGTTATATTCCTTGAACAGAATCAGACTCAGCTTGAAAATATATTGCTTTCTTTTCTCCAATGTTAAAACTGAGTTAAAAATATTATTTAAAATTAGTCATGATGAATTTAAATATCATCACTTTGACAGACCTAGACTGTGAAGAAATAATTTCCCAAAGCAGAGAGGAGAAAATACTTTTGTATTAGAGAGAAATGATTAGCCTTATAACAATGCAGACTGCAAGAGATTCAGAACAGAGTCATTTACTTTGTCTAGTTAAAATAGTATTGGCTTGCTAATTTTGTATTAAATAATTATTTTTGCAGAAAGAAGTCTTGAAATCAGATCTCATTGTCTGCACAGTTGCTGCTGTTCTGTCATTTGCAGTCAGTGCCAGCACAGTGTTTCTATCATTAAGGGTATGTATACATTCTTTTTTTATTTTTTTCCCTAAGGTATTATTTCTTCTATGCAACACCACGGGGTGCTTTAGCTGGAAAGAACAGAGACTGTGGGAGAGGACTTAGAGAAAATGTATTTATTGGCCTTGATGACTTCAGGTTTTTGATGTACAATGCAGTTAATTTATGGATATTTATACTAGGCATGCTATTATTCATTTCCTGTTTCTTTCCTTAAGCCTTTTCATATCTGCACCTCTTTTACGCTGGGGAACAGAATGGATAAACATGACCGTTTATCTTTTTTTCTTCTATTTAGTGGGAAAAAATGGTTAATTGTGTGTGCAGAATGCATATTTCAATCAAGTTTGTTGCTTTCATTTCCATAGTCCACATTTGTATCCACGTGTAGAATCGGAGAGTTTGAGCATAAGAATAAAAATTAATTGCACAGAAATACAATTATTAGAAATATATTTTTTAGAAATTTTGAAAAAATTGCTTTCTTTTCTCTCCTTTGACCCAGCCATTTCTCAGCATTGTCTTGTTTGCTCTCGCATGGACTGTGGGATTCGTAACACATTACATACTTCCTCAGCTTCGCAAACATCACCCCTGGCTGTGGATCTCCCACCCCATACTGAAAAGCAAAGAGTATCGGCAACGGGAAGTGAAAGGTTTGTAATCAAATGTTATCTAAACAGTGACTTGCTGCTTGTCTCGATTTAAAAAAAAAAATCCATGAGGAAGAGAGCAGAGAGAATAAATTATGATGTTTTACGTTTCCCTCTTATGAATAACATCCCCCATCACCTTCCATTTTCAATGCTGATCACCAACAAATCTGAACCTGTGGAAGCTGCCTCCTGAGACCACTTCACAGAATCGCAGAATGGCTGAGGTTGGAAGTGACCTCTGGAGATTGTCCAGTTCCACTCCCTTGCTCAAAGCAGGGTCAACTACAGCAGGTTGCTCAGGGCTGCATCCAGTTGAGTTTTGAATATCTCCAAGGTTGGGGACTCCACTACCTCCCTGGGCAACCTGTTCCAATGTTCAGTCATCCTTACAGTAAGAAAGTTTTTTTTTTCTTATGCTGAAATGGAGTTGTTTATGTTTCAGTTTGTGCCCATTGCCTCTTGTCCTGTCATTGGGCACCACTGAGAAGAGTCTGGTTCCATCATCTTTACTTCCTCCCATCAGATGTTTATACACATTGATAAGATCCCCCTGAGCCTTCTCTTATCCAGGCTGAACAGTACCAGCTCTCTCAGCCTCTCTTTGTAAGTCAGATGCTCCAAGCCTTTAATCATCCTGGTGGCCCTTCATGAGCCATCATCGGATCTGCCTCTTGCATCTACGTTATTATCCTCTTATTTGCTCCATTCCCAGATACGTTATAGTTCATGTTGAGGGAACAGTATTTAAAATAATTAAAAAACTTAAATTTAAAGGATTGATGAAATTGAGGCAGAATTACTTCTACTTTCAGACTTTTGACTATGTCATTTGAGCAACGTGGATAGCGCAACTCAGAGCTTTAATTTCAATCATAACACTGCAAGAGGAGCATTGAAATTGGAAGAAACTGCGTAATTTTCTTGATGATTTGTTTTTGCTCATATCTGCTGGCTTCAGCAGGTGTTACCCTCATACATACAAGTTATCTATAAATATTTTAGTATATCAGGGTCCAATTTCCTATTCTTACACAATTATTTCCACAAGCAGCCAGTGTACTTTGAGAATCATGGCTTTTTATCCCCAGCTCTCATCTTGTCTTTGCTCCCAGCCAGAATCTCACTTGTCATTTCTTGATGGTTCCTGTGCCTTAATCATTTCTAATATATGTTCCTGAGGTGTTTGAAGATATTGTTGTCAGAACACAGTCTGCTGAGGGACTTTAGTTTCTTCTTCAGCTAGACACCAGAAGGGTTCAGATCACTCTCTGCAAAACCATGCATTAAGGATTTAAATCTTTTTTAAAAAATCATGTCTTTCAAAATGATTACTTTCCAAACAAGGCTTGGGTATGAAGAAGTACCCAAGAGACTTGCTTGAAGGTTACCTTTTAACTTTTACTGCAATATGCCAAAGAAAGTGTAGAAGAAATATAAATCTTATTAACAATCATGTCCAACTGAAAAATATTGTTCAGAGCTTCATCTCCTTGAAAATGAGTAATTATGAGGAATACCGAAGATTTATTGTTTTTTACATTAACTTAATCATAAAAGGCAACTATAAGATATCTTTGCCTTGTCTTGTTTAAATCCATCTTCGTTTGTTAGAAAACATTATTTTCCAAAATGCAATGACTCAGCTTTTGAAAAGGTTGAGGGTAGAGGTCTTGCCAGACTGTTCTCCACAGATGAGTTTCCTTTTGCTTTGAGATCAGCTGCGTTTCCCATGATACCTGCTGTGGGCAACAGTGCTTTTTAGCTTCTTTTGCAGTCCTCATTTTTTATGCAGTCCCTCTGCTCTCTTTCTGTTTTAAGTATTATTGCAATGTGTCCGACGTTGTGTATTGGAAAACAAGATTAAAATATTGATTTTTTTTTTCCCTCAATCTTTTGGGCTGCTACAGAGGCTTCTTATGTTCTGAGATGAGACAGGTTGAGGAAAAGATTATGTAATCCTTTTAACAGGTATGTCTGTCACCCTATTTTTTTCCTTTTACAAAATCTGTAAGAAAAATTTTGGAGCAGAACTTGAAGGCCCCCTGTTTGTATAGAAAGGGAAGTTCACTAAAGGACAGTGTCCTGTATTTGTCAGGCATGGACAGTGAAAGAACAAGTACGCAAAACAAGGTGTCTGTTAGGAGCATTTGCTGCATGGATAACTTCAGTTTCTGCTTGCATACTTTTGACAACAAAGGTAGTGCTGTGGTGAGAACAAATGACTGCTTGCAACTGGACAAGCATCTACTAAGCAACTGTGAATGGCAATTCCACAGGTTTGTTCCTGGCTTTGTTTCACAGACTTCAGGTGAGCCATTAAAACTTTCAGGCCCTCCACAAAATAGCAATTATCAGAGCAGTTCTCATAATGCCCCTGTGAAATAGCTCATTTATTACTAGTTATTGTTTTGCCTGACTGCAGGAAGAAAGGCTGAGCTTATGATGTATGAGGTTATGGTACAATAAACATGTGGAAAGTAGTGCAGGACTGAGTGAGAAGCCCTGAAACACTGGAGACCATGGCTTTTCTTCCCCTTCTTCCCCACCACTTCTCTTATCACCTCCAAGCTGTTTTCAAATCATTGGCTCCTTTCCCTGGATCCCCTCTGAATGTGAGCTCTTTTTTCCTCTCTGTGTTATCTGTATGTGCCTTACCACATTTCTCTCTGCTCTTCTGACCTTCTTTTTGGCTTACTTGATGTGCGTGTCTCTTTATTCAAGCTCAAGTTCTTACATGGAACTCAGCCTTTGACAGGTGGATGAAGTTCTTTAGTAGAAGTTCGGGAGCCCTGAAAGCAATTTGTAGTTGAGGAGAAGGAGAATAAAAACTGGGTTCCAAAATGGAGATCTCTCTGTGTGTATTCCTTAGGAGGTAGCCCTTAGAAAAGGAAATATTTTATGTTAAAAAAAGTGATAGCGATTGACAATATTTTCCGAATGTACGTTTTTGCAAAGGTGTTGCTTGCCTTAACCTAAGATATTGGCAAAACATGACTTAAAGCTAATTTGGAAGGATAATTTTTAGATCTTTCTCTTTGTGCGTATACAACGTACAATCTGTTGATTCAGCATGTCTTCTTTCCCTGTCATTGAGCAGGTGATGTGTATGTGAGTATACATAATTATGCCCATTTTTGCAAGCAAGAGCATTGGAGATTGAGTAGCTGGAGCTGTTATCCCTGAGTCAATATCAAGTTTTGTATTTGCTATTTTTCCAATCAGCTTGTTTAGCTGAGCTCAATTAAGAATAAAGACCTTACTTTTTTCAATACACAAATGTTTCTGCATGCAGTTCCCCTAAGTTCTCATGGCAATTTAATTGCATAAAGCATTCAATTTTTGTTTCATACTCGCAATTAAGCACAGTGCTGGGGTTAGTAAAGTCTACGGCAGAAGAAGATATTCTTAATTGATGATTGATGTAATCGTGGCGGATACTTTGTGCAACAACTGTTTTTAAGGTATCCTGAGAAACATCTGTGACTGTGTCTAGTTCTTGTTAGTTTTTCAGTATTTAGATCTCAAAGGATATTCCCTTTTACAGAGATCGATAATACTTTACGAGATAGTAAGTAATATTTTGCCATTTTAAGATGAGGAAAGAGGCACAGAATTCAAATGAGGTTCTGCAGGTCATCTACCAGGTCAACTGTAGAGCTAGAGAGGACCTGTCCAGAATCATTAAAGCACTAAAGAAGGTATTTAATTAAAGTTGTTAATAATTGGATTATGTAGAATCTGCCATTTCTGAGTGTTTCTTGAATGTGGTTATAAGAAGCAAAGTAGATACCCTGCACATTCAAAGAGCAAAATGATGTCTATGTTGCAGATTAATTATGAATTCCATAAGGTGTCATAACTTAGTTGGCTGATAGTACTTAGTAGTGTGAGCTAGCTCATTTCTTTACTTCTACGGTACTACTGTGCAAAAATGCTGACAATATGATGGAATGGTCTGTTACCTGAATTTTTATTTCAGATGCTGCTCATCTGATGTGGTTTGAAAGGCTTTATGTGTGGCTTCAGTGCTTTGAGAAATACATTTTGTATCCAGCTATTATACTGAATGCTCTCACCATTGATGCTTTCTCAATTAGTAAATACAAGAAGCTCGGTACACAGTAAGTTGACTCTAACTCAAAGCATGTGAGTAGCAGACTATTAGATTTAGACCAAAGACTGAGTAATGAAATTTATTTCTTAAATAAGTCTAATTGCTTGTCACAATTTGCCATTACTGCTTCAGTGTACAATAATCATTAGCTCTGCTGAAAGAGAAAATCAAAACTACCTCAGCAAATGCAAGGCATGACTGAAGAGAGAGCGAAATTAAAAGATTAAAGAGCTGTGTATAGATATATGTGGAATGTCTAAATGTCAATAAAAGCAAGGCACAGTACGCCAGTCTGCAGGTGTTTGATGGGCATAAACACAGTGGGGTAACTAGAATTAATCAAAAGAAAATGAGAAATCTAGGCTGGATATCAGGAAACATTACCTAACAGTGAGGATTTTTCGGACTACGGAATGGTCTCCCAATGGAGTTATCAGAAGCTTCACCACTCAAGTCATTTAAGGCTAGACTGGATATTCGACAACGTAGAATGGTGGATAGTCCTGCATTAAGAGTGGCTTGAGAAAGGTAGGGATATAAGTTTTTCCAAAGGCCTAAATCTCTATTTTTAAGCAGAACTGGTGATGCTGATCCATGGATTCGCAGTATGATCCTTGCAGACTGCCTTTTATGGTAAACATTTTGGTCAATGACTTACCTCCTACAGAAATTCAGCAGGCTTAGCGATTTCAGGATCCCTGGTGAGCAGAGTTTTTTCAGTCTTCTTATCAGAGTGACAGTGATGCAGATGATTAAAAAGAAAAACAAAACAAAACAAAAAACCTAAACCAGCCTGTGTTCAGGAAGGAAGGCTCCAGTAACAGG